CTACTGTGAGGAAATTGTGTTCAGCATAAAGTTGATAAACCCAAACATGTCCTCTACCGTCTCTCTTTAGTTTCGACCTAAACACACAAAAAAATTTTCCAAACCTTGTATTAGAGAAGCCGAGGAAATGCCTACCACTAAACCTGCCTGACAAAAGTTGTAAAGCGTTCTCAAATTGATGATTTTCTTTCTTCCAGATAGTACCTTGATTCTGGTGCGTGAGAGCGTAATGTTATGGTGCATTGTGGGTGAGCTGCTGCAATAACGTTTTGTGTATATTGTGTCCCGGCATACGTAAAAAAAAAAAAAGAGTTTAAAAAGTTTGGTGCAATTAAGCATCCAAGAGTTGTGAACAGAAGTTGTATTAGGATAGTTAAACTTGTAGCAGTTTAAGTTGTACTTTCTTAAACAAATTTTATTAAAAAAGTTTCCAAACAGAGCTCAGTATTGAAAAGTGGATAGATGCACATGTATATTTCTGTTCAAGTGTTAATTCGAATGGAAGACTTGGTCTGTTTTTTTGTGAATGGAAAAGGACCCGAGTTGACCATAACGAGGGGAAGTAGAATGTTTTGGGATAATCTGCACATTTGTCCGGCTAAAGACATTCAAGATTGGTGTCGATTTTTGTGGATATGGAAAGAAGTTGGGAGCTGAAGAGAGGGTCGAGTTAAGATCTGTTTCGAGGGATGTTGCGCAACGTGTCGTGCGAGAAATGTTGTCGTGACACACAAGGTTAACTACGACTCAAGGTGCAGCGCAGGAAAGCAATTGATCAAGCTCTTGGCATTCCTCCTGAAGTCTGCCATTATGAAACTTTGACCGCGGTCTAGAGAAACGTCACTGTCAATGCACCCATGACAACTAGTTAAGAGTTCCTGCCCTATTCAGAAGAAGTGGGACGAAATAAAGATAGAACTCATTTTGAAGTGGCAGATGGAACAAATTGACTGAGTGTTTGAATCTCAAAATCTAGCTAGAATGTCGACCCATTTTGAAATCCCAGTTTTAATACGGAGCTCTGTTAACTTTCACCTTTAACCTTTTACCTCAGAGACTGTCAGTGTACAGTTGTGGGGTATTTATCATCAGATGCTAAATTAGCATCAACTACAAGTGGAAAAATACACATTCCTGAGGTATTCAGCTTGACTTGTATAAAGATAAGTGAACATGAAGTTGGGTATTTCACAGCAGCGTGAAAATCAAAGTACATATGTATTTATCATGTTTGGAAAATGGGAGCGGGGATCACATCGGTGATTTTTTTTTTACATCTCTGAATAGCTTTGTGTTGTGTGTAAAGAAGAATTTATGAGTAGAAGACTTAACAGTATTTGTACAGAAATTTGAGTGGAAATTGTACTTAGCCTAGGCGTTGTCTTCTTTGTTACCTTTTATCATGTTTTCAGAAAAAAAAAACGGTGTTTTTGAATTGGTCGGAAAACAGTGTATGAATTGTTCTTTTGCTTCACTCTTTTAACTCTAGAATGAAGTAGACAAAAAACGTTGCTTTTTTAGATTTAGAAAATGTAGCACTGTCATCAGTAAATTTTAGAGCAAATACCAGTAATAGAAATGAAATAAGTGGTGGTGTAAGCCCCTGAGAAGGAGATGCCATGGTAACCACAGTAACCCTGATGTCCCTGGATGACATGCAGGGCGTTCAAATTTTTCAAAATGGACATATCCAAAATTTGGACAGTCTCTCTTTTTTGTATCGCACAAGAATATTGCACCATGCATTTGGCAAATACCAGTCAGTGCTGTGATAGTAGTATTATTTTAAAATATTTTAATTTTATAACTATTTTATCATTTTGAGTGCTTTTCCTGTCTCAACTATGACCCAACTTGTAGCTAACTGTAACATATATACATAAGAAGTGCCATATGGAAAACTACTTCCAGCACCATGAGTGGTACCACTCCTTGTAGTATTTGAAGTATTACCATTTCTACTAATAGTAGTACTACAACTAGTAGCACTACTACTAGTAGCACTACAACTAGTAGCACTACTACTAGTAGCACTACAAATAGTAGCACTACTACTAGTAGCACTACAACTAGTCGCAGTACCACTTGTAGCACTAGTACTAGTAGCACTAGTAGCGCTACTGCTAGCAGCTAGTAGCAGTACTACTAGCAGCACTACTACTAGTAGCACTACAA